GGGGTTTCCTAATACAGAGAAGTCATACAATAATATACATGGAGTTTGACCCTAATGTTATATAACTTGAAAAGTATAAATTTCTCTAGAATCACTCTGTTGGGCAGATGCAGTCGAAAATATGCTCAACACATTGGGCTTTGATGAGTAATTCATAAACAATGTCAAATTGTTTGGCAGAGTGATAGATAGATCAAAAGATGTAAGCATCTTGAATATTTCATGAAGAAGCTAACCACCTTTGAAAAAACTATTTCAGTTGCCTAAAGTGTTTATTAGGAAGTTTAGTTTGTTTATTAATATAGTAGAACTTTTGAACCAGAACTTTTTTTGTGCTTCTTTTAAATTGCACTGTGCTGAACACAGATTACACATCCAGTCATAGAAATGGTATCTGTCTATCCCAAAGTGCTTTGTATCTGGCCAGACTGTCAATGATGAATTAAACAGACATCCAATGATTGGACCTGATGGTCCAATTTCAGGAGCTGAAATTAAACACTGAATAAAGTACCCACAGACAATACAAGTGAGAGACACAGTGTAAAATATGCTATAAGCATTTTGGTGTTGGGCGCAGGCGCTCAACATACCATACCCCACCCGGGACTAAAGACCACGCCAGCTTCCGCAATGTGCTACGTCCCTCTTTAAATTAGCCAACCCGTGCGCACTTCGTGCTCACTCCGTACTCTGTGGCAACTCCTGATTGGCCACAGCTGGATATAGTAACCGAAGCCTGCGTCCCATTCCCGCCCTGCTTCCTCGTGGCAGCCTGTGATTGGTCACGGCCAAATATATAAACCAGAGCCCGTGTGAATAAAGCAGCAGTTAACTGTCATCCACAAGAGCGTCTCCTGTCTCCTGTTTCATTGGGGCTGCGCCAGTCATTTTGGCATGAGGCTCAGAGAAGGGAATTATCTGGGACAACTTTTAAGAGATAATAATACTTAGCATAAATCTTAACAAATGAGGAGAAGTTAATCTGAAAAAGAAAGGTGGACACTCCAGGGAAGGGATGAGAGTGCAGGGGCACCGCAGGAGAAAGGTCATATCTGAGAACTATAAATAGTGAAAATGCTTAGAAGCAAGAGGAATAGACACTCAAGCAAAGAGAATAATATAGATGGATAGAGGGAGAAAATGAGATAAATCTCTTTAATAGGGAAGAGGCCAAGGGGAAAAACACAAAGGGTGAGGAGGAGGAAGAAGGGGCTAAGAAGAATAAAGACATGCCATGTACAGGAGCCTAATCTCTTCAATGAGTGTAAACATTATATGCCATAGTATGAGCTAAGGATAGTAATATCACAAAAAGTAAAAACTGGATAGAGGATTGGAAGAAAAGGAGGGAGGAAGAGGCAAGACGAGGAAGGAGATTGGAAAGACAAGAAACAAGCTGTGCTATGTAAATGGTTCCTCAAGATGCTAGTCGAGGGTAACCATGTACTAATTGCAAATATGTGCTAATAAATCATTCTAATTCTTAAAAATTAGAAGAAAGAAAACTAAAAACAGAAATTCCACTTTGACTCAGTTATTCTTCTAGGTAAAGAGTTAAAGTCATCATATTGCATGAATACTTGCATACTCATGTTTATGGCAACACAATTTATAATAACTAAACCTTGGGAAATGTCTGTATGTCTATAACAGACAAATGGATAAAGAAAATGTATTTATACACAACTATGAGAGAACCACTATGCCGTACAGGAAGATAAACTTGAGGCATTAGTAGGCAAGTGGATGCAACACAAAACCATAGCATCAAGTGAAATAAGTCAGACACACAAGCTTAAATATGACATGGTTTCTCCTACATGAGACAAAAATAGAAGATAGATAAAACAGCAAAATAGACGATAGATAATTAGGAAGTAGGGAGAGATCTCTTACAAATGAATGGGGGAACAAGAGAAAGGGAGGAAGAAGAAAGGGGGGAGATAGGAAAAAAAATTGACGAAAAAAGATAAAAATAGAGATTTTATAAACAGGAAGGGAATCTAGAACTGGAAAGAACAAGAATGATAGAGGATGAAATAAAAAGAGTTAAGACGTATTACACTCATGTACCAACCCCCCACAGTATATATTACAAACATGCACTAATAAAAATAAATAGAAATAAGTGACTGTCACCTTGAGGTGCCTGCTAGACCCAAATTAGATGAGAGGACAATGGAAACACAACAGTGTTTTTTTTCTTGGATAACGGGGATTGAACTCGCAACCCCATGTTTGCCAGGCAGGTGCTTACACCACTGAACTAAATCCCTGGCCCCAACACTACTGTTTTAATTACCATTCCACATACTCTTATCTGGTCCAGTGGAGCAAAGACAGAAATATACTTTTGGAAGCTAATGTGTTGAAGTACTTTGGGTCTCTTACCTTAGATTCATGGATAGGGACATGAGTTACCTGAATTATTTTATGCTTTTTGGAGATAACTATTGTAGGTCTAGGGAGAGGAGTGAGGGACCAGATATAGTGTTGGGACTCACAGAATTGGATATAAAGCCTGTGTAAGTTTTTTTTTGAGACAGGATCTTACTACACAGTTCAGGCTGGTTTGAATTTGTGGTATAGTCCAGGCTGCCACAAACTCACAGCAATCCTTCTGCCTCAGCCTCCAAAGTGCTAAGATTACAGGTATGCTCCACCACATCTGGCTGTGTAATTTTTTCAGCATCAGAGAATAGTTGGAAAAAGTAAGTCTTCAATGGTTGTCCAATTTATTATAAGTTTTAGAGAATACTGAAAGGAAAGCCTAAACCAGAAAGATTTTTTTAAAATTCAAATGGTTGGTTTACATTGTATTATGGATCAGTTAAATGTAATTGTCAATTTGAGTGGATTATGACACTCCAGGAGAGATGATTAATCTTGACGGTGCTTTAGTCTCCAGTGGACTAATTCATTAATGTTCATAGCTCAATATGCTGTCATAAGGGGGGCCCAGTTGGAGGCTAGTCCTTAATCCTGTGCTGCTGGAGGGTGTGGCACTCTTCCTGCTGCTAAAGGCTTCCAGGCTGCCATGGAGTGAGCAGCTGTGCTCTGCCATACCCTTCTGCAATGAAATTTCTGACTGGGGTCAGTTGACCATGGACTGAAACCTCTGAAACTGTGAACCAAAAACAAACCGCTCCTCCTTTAAGCTGCAGCATCAGGTAGTTTCTCCCAGCAAAAGAAAAGCAGACCCTTGTGAACAACTCAACAGAAAATGGCCAAAAAATTAAAAAATTTAAAAGAACATCACCCAACAGAGAGCTACTCAATAGACAAGATGGTAAGGGGGAGCTGGTCTGGCTACTATTGATGAAGATGACTGGGTGGTTCAAAGTCCAGGGTCAAGCTCTGTGAAAACACATAAGGTTCAAAAAGCTGTTGCTGGCAAGAAGTTCCTTCCAGGTAGTGTGGCATGTTGGCGCAGCCCTCTCCTACAAGTGACCAAGCTTGAAGATCAGAGAGATGTAGTCAGAACCTTGAGATCTGTCACTATGCGGCACAACTGCCAGTGATTGGAGAGCCACTCTGTGTTTCAGCTATGCCTCATTAGCCATTTTATCCCCAGTCCCTAATACAATGCTTACAATGTAAAATTTTCACAGTAAGTACTTGAATAAATGAATCACCTAAAATAAAAAGCTGGGATAGTTGCAAGCCGGTGGGCTTAAACTCACTAACACACGGTTTCTGTTCTGGTCTGAGAGAAGGAGTAGCATTTGGTTTGTAGCAACTATGCCCTTTATGAGTGAGTAAAGCCCACACTGAGCACTGCAAGGTACCACAATGATTCAGAGTACCAGAGGTCTCAGAGAAGTTTACCTACAAAGGGAGACTTTCAGAACAGACAGAGCTTTAGCCAAAATGACTGGGACTCCTGACTGTAAAAGATAGTGGACATGATTTCTAGCCTCACAATCGAAGTTGTTAATGAATGTACTAGCCCTAAAAAGGTGGCCCATCATGTGGCCTGAAAATGAGTGCTATCAATAGATCCAGTCACAGATAGGGAAAGAAAGGAAGTAAGGATTAAAAGGCAAAGAGAAGCTACATAGAGTATTTTATTACCCTTTTCTAGTTTGATAGATATTTTATAATACCAAAGAATATGAGGATAAAACTAAAAACACAATCAAATGGTCTCTATCAGTCAGTAATAAAGCCGTCTTGAATAATGGTTAAGATGATACTGCTGTCATCCTAGTTGCACCACTAACTCTGCGTAGGGTGATCTATGATCCTCAGTTCTTGTTTCTGCTAAATGGCATGAGACATGGAGAGAGCCTAATAGAGCTCACACGCAGCAGACTCTGTAAATGGTACCTGTTGTAACTGTGGGCCTGGTCTCAGCCTTCGGGGAAAGATTCGATGGTCCAATGTCTGAAGAGCATCTCGGGTCACTCCTTTTACCCATCCCTTCTACCAAACCACATACGCCTTCTCAAACATATGCACATAGAGCAGTACATCCTCTGAGGTGAAAGAAGATCTACTAACCATTAACCAAGAACCCAAGAGCCACACACCTCTGAGTGATGTGCTGTGGTCCTAAATCATTAACTGTCATACATTTGCATGTGTGGTCTAATGCCAGAATCAGGGACAGGACACTAACAACTACATACTACTGTTTCCCATCTCTTATTGAGAATTCCTCAAAATACAATATTGTACTTTTTTCTTTAACTATAATAGGGCTCTTAAAATTTAAAGCCTTTAGTGGGAACCTGAGGCTCTGTCCCAAACTGTCTAGTGAATAATTTATTCTCCCTCTGCCCTTGGGACTAGTTAAAGGAAAAGCTTGAGGAGCAATGAACCTTGGGATTAATTGAAATATGACCTTCTTACTTGACTTGGTTTCAAATTCTCACCAGTAGGAGCAACTTGGCTTATCTCAAATGCTAGAAATACTGCAGCATTTGTCACTTCAGTCTCAGCCAAGGTTCAAATGCTGTGTCACACATTGAAGCTAAAATAAATTCTAAAAGCTGTTTTTATGTTGACTTAGTTTTATTCACATGATAGCTAAAGTGTCTGACAAAGACTTCCTCTAACATTTCTTCTGGCATTTAATTAGAGTTTGGTTACAGACAGTGTGGGTTGGAAGGATATGTGGGGAGACAAATCAGGGGCTTGCTATAATTCTACATCATCATGAATCCAGTTTACATTTAACCTGTGGCTTGTCTAACACATTTGCAATAAGAGTTGGGGAATAGATCTAATGCTCACTGGCAAACACTTGGCAGCCTGTGAGAGCAGCATATTTAGAGAACACATAATCAATCCTAGTGCTGGGGCACATCAGGCATTGTGAGTGCAGGTCAGAGGCCTGGGCATGCCAAGAACAGCATCCCATGACAGTGACAAGAACGAGGTCTCAGGGCATGCAGCACACAGCTTCAGAGCATCTCAGTCAATCCCCGGAGGGTGGCATGGCCTCTAGTACTGATAGGACCTCACAAGGAGCCAGATGAGGAGAACCGTAATTAGGACAACAGTGAAATTGAGGAACAGCTCCCGGGTGGATCGCTCCATCATCAAAGTGGCTGGGTGAGAACGTCGGGCAGACTTCTGAGGGTGCAACAGAGACTTCCAGGTTGTCCGCACCTCCTAATGAAAGTAGTAAACAAAATAGAGGGAGATTAACGAACATTTCAGTAAGACAATGCTCATTCTTCCCCAAAGCAATATAAGTTTAGGAGAAAAGGAGACTGACTGGGGCTGAACTGCATGATCTCTATTCATATGTCAAAGTTCTAACCCCCAGTACCTAGGAATGTAGCTTTATTTTAAGATATTGTCTTTCAAGAAGTAAGTTAAAATGAGGTCCTTAAGGTGGGCCCTAATCTAACATGACTGGTGTCCTTAAAAGAAGAGGAGATTAGGATACATCCATGACTGACAACACAAAAACACAGGGAAATTGTGGCCATCTCAAGAAAGAGAGAAAAATCTTGAAAGACACTAAGTCTTCTGACACCATTCAACAGTTAGCTTCCAGATTATCTTCGGACCCCGAAGATTTTGCCCATGACACTTGAACCAATTTCTTTACAAATCTGCACACACACACACACACACACACACACACACACAATTTGTCTGAAGATCTCTGATTAACACAGTGGCTGGCTGCTCTGTCTGATGTCATTTTTGTCCTATTTTTTTGTAATCTTTGTATTGAGATTTTTGGTAAAATATAAAATATTACATTTTTCTTTCTCCAACTTGTGTGTATCTGTGCATGTGTTCACTTTGCCTACAAAATATTGCACGTAAGGGCACCAAAACAAAAAAGATGTAGTTTAATATTGTTCTTGCTTTGAACTACACTTAAAAGTTGGACACTATAATCCCTCAGGCTTCGAGCTGCTGTTGGTCTTCATCCAAGCCTGCACAAAGCAGTTCAACAGCTGTGCGGCTTTTTACAAGACTGCACTGGACACAGAACTTAACTGGAATCAACCAAAAGTCCCTCACATTGCAGGTACTCAGTCCAAAGAGCAAGTTTAACCTTCAACAAAGGTCTGTGCCAGCTATTTTTAGTCAGGTGCAGGATGTGCCTAGATTATAAACATTTCAAAGAGCAAGGATGATATCATCAGCGTGTGTATAGATTGTACATGCAGGAAATCATACTTCAAGAATGTATGCAACACAGTCAATCAAATGATTGCTTTGATCAAATGATTACTTTGAGTGATACAGTATAATTGACACTTCGTCTATGCGTTGATTTTTAAACTTCTATACTCTAAAAAATTTTAGATACTTAGATATCTAAACTTAAATATATTTTATATAAGACAAAATTCTACTATGAAATGAAAATATTTAAAGTATATTTTGTTTCTAAGGGTGGAAATTCAAGAGGCATAAATATTTGTTAGCAAGTTTTTAGCATAAATGGTATTTTCTGTGATCTAAAATTAGCCATAATTGCTGTATTTACCATATCATCAATAGACCAAATTATTAATTGCACAAATTACAGCTGAAAAATTTTTTGTGTTATGTAATTATTGGTATAACACAGAGGTTCAGATGATGCCAACCAGTAAATCGTTGATCCTTACTTTAAAATACAGCCAATAATTATTCATTTCTCTTTCATTTCCCCTTTTATTCTTACCTATCTTTTGGCCTTCAGTGTGAAGAAATAATAAATGGTCAATGAAAATATTTATAAATATTTGCTTTGAAGGGAAAGTAAACAGAAGGAAAAGAATAGGTCCAAGCATCAAAAACAGACTCTTCCTTATGAACTTATTAATGAAATCAATCCCACATGATTGATAAGTTCTCAAGAAATGCAGAGATGTTCAGAAACTATGAATCTCTGTTGATAAGGATAAAACAGCACAAATCAGAAAAGCAAAATAATTATCCTATCAAATGTGATTAGATCAAACTTTTACATAAGAAGAATCATATATATACATATATATATATGTATATATATATATATATATATATATATATATATATATGATTTTTACCTTTACCTTTCCAAAAATTACAACTGACAACTGACTTAGAGAGAGGCTGTTTGTGTAATGGCAGATAGAAAGTTAGAGATAAAAATGGCAGACTAGAACTAATTATCATGATTGTGGCACTAAAATATTCCATAGGAGTATTATACAAATAAGTTATTGTAGCAGTTAATTGGCCTGGTTAAACAAAGTTAGTGAGCATTTCCAACTACTCTGGAAAATACTGTTCCTAATATCTAAAAATGTCAGTACAGTACTGCCTTAGATGTTCAAGTACATATGCTTCAGTATATATATACAAGGATGTTCATAACATTTTCAAAAGGCCCCAAAGCTGGAAACAACTTAAATGTTTATAAAAGGCAGGATAGATACAAATTGGGGTATGTGTATACATTTGAATGCTATAGAACAAAGAAAATACATAAACTACTATAGTAACACACAAAAAATGGGTGGATCTCATAAATACAATTGTTGAACAAAAGAAACACAATGTGACTCCATTTCTAGAAACTTAAAAGCCAGGAATTTAGTCATGTTGTTTAGGAGTATATTTTTTAAAGAAAAGCAAGCACAAGATGGTCCCCACACTCTGAGGCAGAAGGCAGAATGAAGAAGTAAATAGACTTTTGGGGTGTCAGTGAAGACCTGTTTCTCAACAAGTGATAGTTATACACATGTGTAGAATAATTGCTGAAGAGCTTGTTTTGTGCACTCTTCACATTTTTTAATTCTCTTGAATTAACACCCTTACCATCACATTTCTTAACAATTCTGGTATTTTATGGCAACCTCAAGTATTTATTGTTTAATGTACTTTTAAATGACTAAAGCATAAAGAATTCAGATGAGAATTCCCAGTGAACCCAGTTCATTTGGCAAACAGGCTAACTGTAAGGCATAGGCTTTGCTTTTACACACATCTATATCCTTTATGAAAATGAGTAATGATACAGAAATTCAGAACAGCAATGTTCTATTATTCAGCTTTGGCTGCATTTTAAACCTTCCCTAGAGTCAGGATCTCATCACATGAGAAATTACCGTATGAATCCAAAAATCCAAAAATCTATCAATCAACTGCACTAGTGGTTTGACGTTGACTGTCTCTCACAGGAACTTCAAGAAAATGTGAAATAATATTTCTTATATTACATGCAACAATCATAAACATAAGAAGAATGAAAACACATACTACAGAGAAATGGGACTCAGTAAGACTTACTTTATGTCTTAGAAATACCATGTAAAATGATCACTGCATATTTTACCATGTGTATAAGCATTTCTCTCATTTCCAACATGTACACAGACACACACATACATTCTTCATGCTGAGCATAAAAGCCTGTGTTACCTGAAGGTCAAGGACATACCTTGACTGCAACAGGCTTCGCTTGCTTTCCCCAACTGAGGTTCCAATTCCTGCTGTCTCATAGACAGTCTGCACTCCTGGCCTCTGAGCAGTGCCTAAAGTAGTCCTAGGGACATGGCAGTCACTGTGATGTCACTGATGAAGCATCTCAAAGAATAACCACCGAAGGTTCAAGGCTATTTATGTGCAAGGAGCAAAGCAATACGTTGACTAAGATATTGTTCCTTTGGCTGCCAATTTGTGTTAACAACACAAGACTTAAGTGCCTTCTGTTTCTAGTCAGTTTTTATTGCAACTGATGTGGACTTTAAATTTATTTTTTATCTTTATGAATATTTCCAAAATGTCTTTAAAACATCATAAACCAAGACTAATTTTAACAAGTCAATGCTGTACTTGTTGCTATCCCTATTCAACCTAGGTAGGTGCCAAAATGTGCTTCATTTTACCACTCTTGTCTTTAGCTATTTGAAATGTGAAGAGCTACTTGTGCCTTTCACCTACACACTTGCACACCCACACCCCACACCCACATTCCATAGGCACGCCTTCAAAAGGACTTCAGTCCAAGTAGTGAAAGCTATCCCCCCAGTCACCTGCTACACATAACTTTCCAGCTAAGCTACAAGTTTACACATTCATCTACAGTTTCATCCAAACAGCTGAGGAAGCTATGGTCTGTATATCTTGGTCAGTAAATTAACAGTAGCAAACTCAGGCAGAAAAACTCAGTGATTTGGATAGATTTGGAGTTAGGAAAAGTGGTCAAAATTAGTAAAAATGTGAATTATAGAATAAATTCAGGTGCATAGAATATAGCTGGAAAAAATAAAATTATGCAATTTTCAAATATAGCCACTAGCTAAAATCAGATTTCAAAATGAGTTTGTACTCAACAAATCAGATGTTTAGGAGTGAAAATGAAAGCTTTGAAGTGTTTAACTGAACATGAAAACACCTCAATGAAGCAAGAAACAGTATTCCACTGAGCTAATCTCCTCTCCAAATTTCCAGTTAATTAATGTGTTCAAAATAACGCATTCCAAGAACACAATAAACAAAAATATCTGCATAACTTTGTTCAGAATCAAACATTTCCCACCATCCCCCAGGCCCCAGAGGCACCGCACTACTAAAAGATTTTCCCTTCCATTTCTTCATTTCAACACAAGCCCAACAAATAACGGGTCATCTTAATACAGCATCCTGTCATCACTCATCTTGTAGGAAGATAATCGGCAGAAATGACAGATAGTGTATAATAATTATAGCACAATCGAACATTGGCAGTTATTTGGTGCCATCTGGCAAGCCCTGTGAATTTAGTCAGATTTCTGACTTCTGCCTTCAGTCCTTGCCAAATTGTTTCAAATATTGGGAATGTTTTCCTGGTCATCAAGTCACAGCTGTTCTTTTTTTAACCACTTATCTTTCGTTCAATTAAAAGTAATATGTTTGTTGTAGAATATTTGAAACTATATAAAAGTATAAAAACTAAACTGCCACTACTTTTACTACTCAAAAGGAAGGGACTTTATATTACTTTTATTTATATGCTTGAAACTGCATAGATAAAATCTCAAATTCCCAATACATTTTTCACAAAGGAATCTGATACCTTAAAAAAACTTCTTTTTAGATACACTTAGAATTAAATTACTTGTGTTCTATCATTTGTTAGTGTTGAGTTTATACCACAGGTATACATTTTGTACATTTGGGATATTAATTAATTC